GGGGGGGTTTGGTTTGGAACTTGGGACCGGAGCTCAATGTTCGTTGGGAGGAGGAGGTTGAGATCTTCCCCAGCAGAGGAGGCTCATAAAATGGCAAGCGTCGCTGTTTCAAGCAGCAAGCAAACCACTGCGGGCACTGGCAGGCAGCCAGACAAACCAACGGACAACAACCAACCCGACAGCGGTACGGCTGGCTCCCCATAGGTGCCAAGTGAATCAGGGGTTGTCAATCAGGACCTATGGGAAGACGCGCAGCAGATCCTAGCCACAGGAACGAGTAGCCACCTCACCTGCCAGAAGCCGCGCCTCTGCCCAGTACCTGAACCTGTCCCACTCGGTGACACCCACCCCGCTTAGATTGTTCTCAGTTCAAAACAGGAACTTCCAAGGTTGGCCTGCTACGCTGGGTTTGGAGGCCAGTTTCTGGTATCCAAGGTACCTAGTTATCCAACTCACTTACATACTAACCAATTAACTCTGTATTATTGTAGGGAGGTGGAGGGACGAGAAGACAGACTCTGTCCTTGTACAACCACTTGAATATCCCAGGGTCACTCTACGGAGTGCTTTATGGAGTACGGAGACGCATGTAACTAGTTATTATATATATTGCATGCCATTTAATTGTCCGTCCTCCCCTCTCCAAGACACATTTCTATAACCAACCCAATCCTCCTTTCCCTCTGCCTTTCAAAACCCGGATGCCCTTCGACCCTGCTAACAAATTAACATCTAACTAATGAACAGCTAATCTCTTCTCCCTTTAACACGCATATCACCTTGCATATTTATTGGTCTCCAGTCCTCTAGGCAGCTCCCTCCTCGAGCAAGTCTTCCCTGAACCCACGTCTTGCAAGGTGACAAAACTGATTCTTTCAGATCAGATAATTTCCGGCGGTCTTTAGGCCAAAAATGGTTATACGGGGTAGCTATGGGCTGTGGCTGCTATCCTATAGTTATATTCTGACACTCACAAAAAGAAGTGTATGGGTTTTATTTCATTTTACGACCCACACTCATGATGGGGTTTATCGTTGTGTTGCAGCATTGCCAGCACCCGTCTCGGACTGTGCACCCATCCATCCCATTCCAGCATACTACGGTAACCGGTACATAGGATTGGATGCAGGGATATGGATTGGGGATAGTTACACTACAAATTACTTGCGTACTTTTACCAGGAATGGAGGGTTACTCCTCTGACATCCATTTCTCCCCCAATTTCAGCCCTGTCCGCAACTGGATGCCCCCTAATATCATGAGTATATATATCCATCGATGGATCTCCTGGTGCAAACCTGGAAGGATCTTTCACCCTGCCGAACTTCTTCATCTTTGCGCTACTACTCTATCTCCCTTTATCTTTACCCACCCCCCTGTCAACCACGTTTTGTTCGTGGCACAAAAAAAAAAAAAAAAAAAAAGTAAAATTAAGGGTCAAAAAGAAAAGAAAAAAGAAAAGAAAAGAAAATAAAATAAAAGAAAAGAAAAGAAAAGAAAAGAAAAGAAAAGAAAATAAAAGAAAAGAAAAGAAAAGAAAAGAAAAGAAAAGAAAAGAGATGTTGCTTATTATGGGCAAAGATGGACAAGTAGCTTTATGCTCTATAACCTCACATGCCATTTGATAGCAACCCTTTGCAAAATGTATATTGTGAATGGTCTCATCTTCTTTTCTTAGTATTCACTATTCTCTCCTCTCTCCTATGTGATAACAATTACTCTTCTCAAAGCACTGAAGTTCCTGAGCTCCTATTGTTCTTAAGATGCCCGATCCCTACCCCCTTTTTATGAATAGTATCAACGTTCGGACCATATAGATATAGTTAAATCTTATAACCCTCTTTGGTGTCTTGGTGACAAAAACTGGAAAAGGACACTGCAGAAGTATCCTAACAGGATCATCTCATGGAGGTATGAAGAGATGATATTCTCCATTCCCCATGCTCCTTTGTTACGTGGGAGACTCGCAGTCCCGGAAAGGGAGCGGAGCAGTGAGAGGAAAGTAACAAACTTCCGAAGATTTCTAGGTCACAATATAACATAACAATACTGATATATGTATATGAATTAAGTTATGGCGTATCAGAAATTGGGTCTGGCTATGGATTTTGAATTCTGGTTTACTTGTGTAGAAGTCTTGGAAAGTCCATGTGAAGACTTGATTGCTTCATTCCCACTAAATCACTCTGTTCTTCTTTGGCAGCTGGTCGATTTTCGATTGAATTTGAATAAATTATGTACACCTACAGATGTGAAATACAATCTCTCTCTATCCCCTTCGCGATCCCTAGATTGCTGAGAATCCCCATGGGTTGAGAGTTGTCCCCGCCCATCCACATTATCCACGCCCAGTTACATAGCGACTAATAGGCGCAGCAACCCCCAAAAATCGAACGGCCAATAACATCAAATACAGGCGCTAAACAAACGCCTCCACGCGCCTAACTCCCAACTCGGTAATCCGCAACAACTTATAAGACACCCAATAATAAAACAGAAATACATACAGACAGACATTAACAGAGGGCATTTTCTCTTCACGCCACCAAGGAGAACACGCCACCCAAGGAGAAACCTTTTGCTAACCTTCCTCCGTCCCCAAACCGCTATATCTATCCCCCGCTACCGCGATACCGTCTGCACCACACATCCCCCCTCCCTTTCACGAGGGCCATGAACCCTCACATCTCAGTGCCCCGGCAACATGCCGGCCCAGCAAACTTTGGCAGCACGGTTTCCCGGCGGGAATCGACGATACGAATGCCTAGGTTTTTTCGGAGGTGAGAAAAACCCTTCTGTTCCTTGTAGTCGATTGCTTTTCGTCTGTTCCAACCCTTGGCTTTTATGCAGTGGTTCTGTTCTGCTCCTCGGAGTAAACCAGAATTCTATGCTCGAAAGAAAAAGAAATCTTCTGGCTCTTTTGCAGGCGGATGGTGTATTCCGTTCGGGAATTATTTTGCTGATCTGACGGTGTGCATGTTATGTGAAATATCAACACATACAGGCTGTTCAAGTTCCCGCAGATGGACTTTGAGATGGCGATATGGGAAATGACGTCGCTACTTGTTGCGCCGAAGAAAGTGTTCAAGTCCATGTATTATCATGTTAGTGATATCACTTTTTATATAGATATACACTTCATTTTATTTTCCGAAACCGCATCAACAAAATTCTCTAAAGCTTACAAAAGGGCTAACATCCCGCAGAAACGTAACTACAACCTCCTCAACCCAAACCGAATCCGAATCGCATCAACTTCCACCCCCCCCCAACCCCCCA